TTTTTTTTTTTTTTTTTTTTTTTTTTTTTTTTTTTTTTTTGCAGATAGGTCGCCGTTTAGGTAATAAGAAATTGAATTATAATTTTTGTTCTTCTTTTGAATTATTAACAGGATATAAAAGGAACGGAGTAACACCATTAAATAGTAAATCTTTTTTTCCTGTAATTATATCTATAAATATATTATGCATGCATTATAATTTTATTTATTTAGGGGCTGGTGCACCAGATCTTAAATTATTTATTTCTGTTGCTGATCTAATTAGATTAACTAATCCTATTATTGGTGTTGTTACATAATTCCTTCTGCTGCTGCTGCTGCTGCTGCAGCAGCAGCAGCAGCTACAGCAGCAGCAGATGCTGCTGCTGGGGAGGATGCAAATCCCGTTCCCGTAGCTGATCCCCTTGTTGCAGGAGCAACAACAGCAGCAACTGCAGCAACTGCAGCAACTGCAGCAGCAACAGCAGCAGCAGCAACTGCAGCAGCAACAGCAGCTGCTGCTGCTGCTGCGGGGATTGATCGTTTCCCTGCATTTATATATGAATATGTTTTTAACCTTTTTTTTAATTTATTGTTTTTTATTGCCGCATTATATTTACACTATAACGCAGAATACTGCTGCTGCTTCTGCTTCTGCTGCTGCTGCTCCTTCTGCTGCTGCTGCTTCTTCTGCTGCTGCTTCTTCTTTCTCTGTTCTGCTGGACGTACTTGGTTTTAGGGTTTAGGGTTTAGGGTTTGAGCATTCAACCGTCGGATGTTAGGGTTTCTATATTCCTTAGATCCTTTTTATTTAATTATATTTAATATAATTAAATATATAATATTTATATATTATATATTATAATATATAATATATATATATTTAATAGTATAAAAAGAATATTGTATTGTGCGTTATACATTATACCGTATACAAATTGAGATATAAATTCCTATAGGTGTGCATACACCGCAAAAAAAACGGTAAAAGGATTAAAATATAATATTTGGAGGATTTATTTATATTATTTTTATTTAAGTTATTTTTATTTATATTATTTCCTTTTTTTTTTGCTTTTTATGCAACTTTCTTCTTTTTTGCGTGTTTGTGTTCCTCCCTCGCCAAGTGATGCTCGTCGTGCGATGTGCCGCCCGTTCAGCAGCTTATTTTATGATTATATTATAAATATTATGCAATAAAAAAGGAAATGTAAATAAACAAATAATTTTTTTTTTTATTTTATTTATTTACAATAAGTTTCAAGGAAATTCCTCCAAAAATAACGCCAACCTCCAGCCAACCAGACCACCGGTGAGGCTGCACACTAGCGGCGGTTCAGGGTGCCTAAAATGACAAAGAAAGGAGGTAATCATAAATAAAAAGAAAAAAATAATATTTAAATTAATCAATTAAAATATATTTAATGTTTATTTTCTTTTCAAAGAGGTAATTTCCATTCATTTCCTGCTTAAATCACCCACAGAGAGGAAGAATCCGCTGATGCAAGCAACTGCGGTGTACGTACACCTCAACTAAACCCTAGGAAGCAGCAGCAAACAAAATAAACCCTAATTATTATTTTATTGAGTCAGCAGGACATGCTAAACTGCATAACTCTTCTTCTTCTTCGGTCCTCTTTATTGCGGCTTTAGGGTTTAGGGTTTAGGGTTTGGGCTGATGTGTGTGTTTAGGGTGTATCTACATTAACTCTGGGATGAGGTTTCTTCTTAACTGGAAACCCTAAACCCTAAACCCTAAACCCTAGCAAGAATCCTGCAAAAATGCTGGGGGCATTGAAGGGTCACCTTGCCCCTGCAATAATTTCTTCGGAGGATAATGATTCACAACAGAGTCTTAAGATTATTGATGAGAGAACAGGTAAAGGGTTTAGGGTTTAGGGTTTAGGGTTTAGGGTTTAGGGTTTAGGGTTTAGGGTTTAGGGTTTATTAGGGTTTCATGGAACAAAGAAGCCGAATAAATAAACCTCCCCATATCCCTCCTTCCCTAATATTCTCCCCCTGTGTCCTCTCAATATATCATAATTTAGGGTTTAGGGTTTAGGGTTTAGGGTTTATGTTTAGGGAGGGAGTATAGGGTACCAATAAAGCATAATACAATAGAGGCAAAAAAATTAGCGGAGATAAAAACCCTCGAGGGTTTACCCCTTCGTTGTTATGATCCTGGATTAATGCATACATGTATAGGTAGTAGTAAAATATGTTTTATTGATGGGGATAAAGGTATACTCAGGTATATAAACCCTAAACCCTAAACCCTAAACCCTAAACCCTAATTTTTTAATCCTGTACTATCACGACTAATGGTGTATTTCTTTCTTGTTCCTCTTTGTTCCCCAGCACAAATCTTTCTATCTCTATTATTTATTATTAATTTTTTTAATTTTCAATTTTTAATTTTTTAGGGTTTAGGGTTTAGGGTTTAGGGTTTAGGGTTTAGGGTTTTTTTTTTTTTTATAGATATAGAGGATATGCAATAGAGGATTTAGCAGAGAGCTCTAGC